ATAAACTAAACCCCTGCAGACTGGAAACTTTTACAATTGAGAAAAGCCTCTCACAGTCTTGAGCCACAAGCTACAAAACTGCCCTTCTGCTAGGATGAGTTCAGTTCTTCTAAATTTAACCTAGTTGTGGCCCCTGACCATCTGTTTCTGAATCATTGAAACTCAACTGTGTAAACATTCAGCAATTAACTCCCCAGGTAGTTGACCAAGACTTTTAACTTAAGTCACATGCTTTTTTTAGATAAGCTGTCGATGGCTCATAGTTCAAAATGACTTTCTGATCTTTGTTTGAAAAAATAGTCACCCTCACCAAACTGGAGATTAAGATCTGTTTTTTCCTCCACTTTGGAATAAAATTTCCTAAATATTAATAATATACTACAAAGCTACATTACAATTGCATTACTGCAACTACTCACAGATTGCATGAAGGCTGCTTTAATTATGGCAGAGACTATTACGAGCACACTAACCTCCGGTCTGTCTCTGATCAACTCCATTTCCCTGACCACAAACTGTGACATCAACACATGTGCAGCACTTACGGCACTGAATTAAATATTAACCCTTTCAGACCAGTATGCTACAAGTTCCCTTCTACCTAAAAATCAACACAATGTTATAATTAAGCATCCAGTAGTACTGCCCCACCATAATTCCAGATTATACATAAACCTGTGCAGCCCAAGCAACTATAGGCAAAACCCTCTTAGGTATGAACACAAGGAAGTGTTCAGTTTCACAATGGCTTGATTATATTGGCTTAACTTGATTCTAAAATCCAAGATGGCTGCAGAGTAGCAGCACCACGTGAGGGCTCAGAGGAGAGTAAGGCCAGTGGGTAGGAGATCGAGCCACGTGGCTGCAAAAGAGGTCCCCTGGCATCTGCAACAGCAGCAAGCACAGAGGAGATCAAATTTACCTTCTGGAGAGAGCTCGGTCTCAGAGGCAGCGGTGGCGATGGCACCACGGCTTCGTCGGATCTGGTGCATGGCAGTGGATGGGGCACCAGTCAATGGCAATGCAGCTCATTGCACAGCAGCAGCTGGAGGCCTGGATCATGACTTTGACGGTAGGAGGTTGTGCCCAATGCAGGAAGAGTGAGCCCAACGCAGTGGTGAGGGGCGTTCTCATGACATTTGTGCTGGCCGCAACAGCAGGCAGCCTGCAGTCTCCCAGAGAGTGGGTCAAAGTGGAGGAGATTGAGCCCTTGTAGGGAGTGCAAGCTCAGCATGGTTAAGCACTTACGAGAGACTGTTGAACTTTGAACTTTATTTCATTAATATTTTACTTACTATTAAGAAAGACTGTGAAGTTAACTTTTAACTTTATTTTCTACTTTGTATTAAGAGGGACTATAATGTTTAACGTTTAATTTTTTTCTAATTTGTACCTTAGTATCTTTGTACCTAACACGGCACCAGGAATGGCCACATCGTACACTTTTCACTGTGCTCATATACTTTTGTACTTGAGTACACTTGACAATAAAATCTAATTCTGATCCGAACTGCAACTGACTGAGTTATCCTCTGACTGTAATCCCAACTGTTTTAATTGTCTTTTTACAATCTTATTTTTACCCTGTTCTGGGATCAACCATGTGCTATGTTGATAGGACCTTATTAACTATAAAGTTTCATCTTGATACAAAAGGCTCAATTTTATGTTAATTTCTTTGCCTACCTCATGGGGTAAGCCAGCCCTTATGGTATCCACCTTGCATTAATTTTTCCATTCCAACTAGAACTGTTTTTTTACCAATGGTTCGCTAAATCACTTCCAGGTCTTTAGGCCAAACCTGAAGATGTTCATGTTTTTCTTTGTCTAGTTGGAAACATTCCTACCCAAGGCATCTCTTTTTGCAGCATTCAGGGCATTTACTTTACTTTGAAAAGTCTTTTGGTCTTGCAAAACATCCAAGAACATAAAATTTGGTCAATTCTTAAGTTTAGTTAAGTTACAGCAAACTGTACAGAAATCCATATTCTTTAGCTTTAGTTAATCATACTACGTGCCCTGATTGACCATACATTAGTTATCAACCTATTAATGTTTTCATTTTTACAGTATTAGACTGCCATAATATTTTTACAAGTAATGGAGCAGGTTGTTTTTTCTGAGTTTCTTCTCATAAAACATTTGGACAGAATACTTTGAGACAATTTGGACATTGAGGATTTCCTTTGCAATGCCTGTTAGAAGAATGTCCAATTTTCTGTCTATTTAAATGTATGGCAGACAAATGTGTGGTTTTCATACATGTTATGAATTCTACCTGCCCAATTGAAGTGATTAGTTATATCCAGATTCTATAAAAAGGTAATCTGCCCCAATATCAATATATTTTGATTTACATGCATGAACAGTGCAAAACTGTTCCAATAATTCTGATGCATGAACATAGAGACTGGGAGCAGGAATAGCCCATTTGGCCTTTCAAGCCTGCTGTGCCATTCATCATGATTATGGCTGATCATCCAACTCTATGCCCTATTCGTGCTTTCCCCATTTGATCCCTTTAGCTCTAAGAACCAAATGTAACTCCTCAGAAACCTCCAATATTTTGGCCATAACCATTTACTGTGACAAGAATTATACAGGTTCACCATGCTCTGAATGAAGAAATTTCTCCTCATCTCAATCCTAAATGACCAACCTCATATCTTTAAACTGTGACTCCTGGTTATGCGCTCCCTGGTCATCAGAACCTCCTTCCTTTGTTTATCCATTCTAGTCCTGCTGGAATTTTATAGGTATCTATGAGATGCCTCCTCATTCTTCTAAATTCCAATAAATATTGTACTAACCATTTGGTCCCACTTCAAACATCAGTTCTGCCATCCCAGGAAATAGTCTGGTAAACCTTTGTTGTGCTCCCTGCACAGCCAGAACATGCTTCCTCAAATAAGGAGGCCAAAATTGTACAGAGTACTCCAGGTGTGATCTCACCAAGGCCCTGTACAGTTGCAGCAAGAAAATCCTGCTCCTGTACTCAAATCATAAAATGATAGAATCCCTTCAGTGCAGATAGAGGCCATTCAGACCATCATGTCTTCATCATTCCTCCAAAGAGCATCACCTCAGACCCACACCCCCATTCTATTCCCATAACTCCGTACTTACCATGGCTAATCAACCTAACCTGCACATCCTTTGACGCTATGGGCAATTTAGCATTGCCAATCCACCTTCGGCCTGTGGGAGAAAACCAGATTACCTGGCGAAAGCCCACACAGACATGGGGAGAATGTGCAAACTCTACACAGACAGTCTCTCAAGGCTAGAATCGAACCCAGATCCCTGGCACTGTGAGGCACCAGTGCTAATCGGTGTGCTACTGTGCTGTCCATCTTCTGACTATTAATTTTCATTAATCTCGCTTCAGTGACTGGTGCAAAAGAATAGCCAGGTCTCCTTGCACTTCCCTCTTTCCCAATCTATCACTATTCAATCTATCTTTGCTACCAAAATGGATAACCTCACATTTATTCACATTATACTTCATCTGCCACACATTTGCTCACTCACTCAGCTTGTCCAAATCATACTGAAACATCTCTGTATCTTCCCCAGCTCATCCTCCTACCTAGCGTTGTATCAGCTGTCAACTTGGAGATATTACATTTATTCCCCTCATCGAAACTATTAGTATATATTGTGCCTAGCTGGGGTCCAAGTACTGACCCCTGTGGTACCCTACTAGTTACTGGTTGCCGCTTAGGAAAAGACCCATTTGTTCCCACTCCTTTTTTTCCTGTTTACCAATCAATTCTGTATCTAGGTCAGTACACTATCCCAATCCCATGCACTTTTATTTTGCATAATCTCTTACGTGGGACCTCATCAAAAGCTTTCTGAAAGCCCAAGTAAACCATATCCACTGGCTGTCCCTTATCAACTCTACAGTTACAGCCTCAGAAAATTTGTCAAGCATGATTTCCCTTTCACAAATCTATATTAGCTCATTCTGATCCTATCACTGTTTACCAAATGCTCTACTATTAAATATTTTATAATAGATTCTAGCATTTTTCCAACTAACGATTTCAGGATAATGGACCTTTTCAACTTTAACTAATCGTAAAAGAAAATTTCCTAAAAATAATCAGCCAAACACTATTTGAAATTAACTGGAGATTCCAAAAGAATTAGAATGGAATATGAACTATATTGTTCTACACAAGAATTGTGGTTTACTGTATTACTTAAGATTTTATTAGATATCAATAAAGAAATGTTTCAAATAATGTTGTTCATGTATTTCTGTGCAGTGTGCATATGAGTAAGAAAGAAGTGCTTAACTTCCCAAGATTTTTTTTGTCCAAATAATCATGGATAAGATCAGTTTCAATTTACCAAATAGAAAATTTCAAAATAAACTTTAATCATTAGCTTATTAATAGCTTTTTGGAATAATACAGTTATTTCAAATAAGTTATTTAAAGGATGACTAAAATGCTATTAACTAATGGTATTTATTAAGCAAAGTTCTGTTTTATGAAAATTGAAGTTAAGTAGTCAAGTATATTTTAATATCAATGAAATGTACATCTTATGTAAGGCTATTGTACCTTGCTTTTTTTTAATACTACTTGACAGAGTACATGGATCTGTTCCCTGGGCAAAGGTTACTTCTATTCCTTACAATAATTATAGCTTGAAGTGTTCTGTTGGCAATACAACTTTAAAATCTTAGAAACAGCACATCCATAATAGTACGGAGTATTTGGTGTACAACGTTATTGACTCAGTAACAGAACTAGCGCTAAGTATTACCCAGTAGTAACCATTCATAAAGACCACATTACCATCAAAAGGTTTCTTGAAATTTTTTAAATGCCTTATATTCTCCATTATCCAAAAACATAATGAAAATGTTGAATATTGAAGCTGTTGTTATTACAATGGTAACAAGCCCAGTGCAGAAATCTATAACATCAAAACTGCTAGGTTGATTTTGTTTATTTCCAATAATAACATCTATATTTTGTTTACAGGCACAACATGTCTGATTGCACTGTTGTCGGACAAAGAGCTAACTGTTGCAAATGTTGGAGATTCTCGTGGTGTACTGTGTGACAAAGAGGGGAACGCTGTTCCCCTTTCACATGACCACAAGCCTTATCAGCTGAAGGAAAGAAAACGGATAAAACGAGCAGGTAACGGGAAAAGGAAAAAAATCTTACATTGTTTTCAAAAGTGCAAAATATCATAGAATGCATTCTTATTATCATTTTTGCTGCTGTTTAGCTGGGATCTTGTGTATTACTGTTGGCATTTTCATGGTACCATAAGATAATCCTTGCTCTTGATTGATACAACCTAGTCAGATCCAATATTGGGCCTTAGGCTTCATGACCATTGAAGTGGCAAGCTGTGGGAAGTCACAGACAGGCCACTGGTGAAGTACAATTCACTAGGATGTAGTGTGATGTCAATAATGGCCCATGGATAAGTGAAGGGGAAAGCTATCCACTTTGGTGGGAGAAACAGAGATGCAGAATATTTCTTCAGTGGTGAGAGATTGGAAAGTGTTGATGTCCGAAGGAAGCTAGGTGTCTTTGTTTATAAGTTACTGAAAGCTAACACGCTAGTGCATCAAGTGATTCAGAAGTCAAATACCTGTTAGATTTCATCACAAGAAGATTTCAGTACAGTATCAAAGAAATCTTGCCTCTATTGTATAGAACGCTGGTTAGGCCTCATCTGGGTTATTGTGTGTAATACTGGTCCTCCTGCCTGAGGAAAGATATAGTTGCCATAGAGGGAGCGCAGAGGAAGTTCAATTTAGTGATGGGTTAGTGGGACTGCCCTATGAAGAGAAATTGAGGAGACTGGACCTGTATTCTCTTGAGTTTAAAAAAATGAGGCAATTGCACAGAAGGTTACAAAATTCTTAAAGGAATAAACAGTAATTTTAGAAAGGATGTTTACCATGATTGTGGGGTTCAGAATCAGGAGACAGAGTCTCAAAATAAAAGGGAAGTCATCTATGGCCAAAATGAGGTACTCCGGGGAATAGTGAATCTTTGGATGTCTACCCTGGATGGCTGTGGACATTCAATCATTATCTTGAAAATGGTTATTTGATTTCAGGTTATAATGACATCAAGGGATTTGGGAATAGCATGGGAAAATGACAGTGAGGTGGATACTCAGCCATGATACAGAATGGCAGAGCAGGCATGGAGCTGATAGGAGCAGGAATGAGCCAATGTTCCTATGAAAGACCAGGAAAGGAGGCAATCAACTTAGGAGTGAAATAGTTACTAAGGGAGATGTAGCTGTGACAATCAAGGAGGGTAGGTTGTGGCAATAATGTTGGGGGAGGAAGAGCTGACAGTATCATGGGTTCAGGTAATTACATCTTAAAGCTTAAAAATTGTTAAACGCACAACAAACTGAGAAGGCTACTAAAAATATATGAGATCTTTGGCTTTATAAACAGAGAAATGGACTACAAAAGCAGGAACATATTGCTAATTCTTGATTAATCACTGGTTAGGCCCCAAATGTGCTATTATTTCTGCGCACCACACTTTAGTAAGAATGTCAAAAATCTAGAGAGGGCGTGGAGGACATTTAGGAGAATAATGTCGAGATGTGTAACTTCAGTTACATAAAGAGAATAGAAAAGCTTGGGTAGCTCTGCTTAGAGAAAAGAGTTTTTTGGGAGATGGAACAAAGATTTCCAAAATTCAAAAGTGATTTAATAACATGGATATGGAGAAACTCTTTCCAATAGCAGAATGATCAATAACCAATGTACACATGTTTAATGTAAAGGAACTACAGATGAGATGAGGAGAAATTCTTTTCCACAATATGTTGCTAAATTCTGGAATTCACTACCTCAAAGACTGGAGAATACTAATACAATAATAACTTCCAAGAGGCAACTGAAAAATTCTGGAAGGGGAATATTTGCAGAGCAATGGGGAAGGGGCAGAAGAGTTACATTAATTGGAAAGCTTGTTCCAAGAATGAAATGGCCTTAAAAACCTGTTTCTGAGTGATATTTTTTCTATTGTTGCAATCTGATAGTCCTTTTAGTCCTTTTAAAGACTGTTCAATCATTTCATGCAGACCTGGGCGGGCAAATCTTACAGTGGGGTCCGAAAATAAGGATTAAACCCATTGTTTGCAAATGTAAAAAACCTATCATCTATTTGAAGCTTGGACACTGCACAATGACTTTTTGGCCTTTACCAATATGATTGCTCGCATATTTGCATCTTGAAATTAGATGTGCACTTTCAACCTGTTCAAAAACTGAATAGGTTAAGTAAAATTTTAAATTTATTTTTTGTTTCTTACTTCATTAAATCATCAACAAATTACTTGAAATCAACCTAACTGATTGATTATTAAGAGGGTTTAATTAATAAGGATCACATCTTAGAATAGTCCTTGGAATTTATAAGGTTAATGGGCAATTTATCAAGTTTTCAAGATATTAAGGGGAACAGATAAGACCAATGGGGAGAAATTATTTCCATTGATTCAGAGTCCTGGACTAGGACCAGCTCAGAAACCAAGGCCATTAAGGCCATCTTGTTCTTGGAAAGAACTATTCAATCAATGTAACTCCTCTGTCTCTTCTCCATTGCTCTGCAAAGTTTCCCCACCCAGTATTTTCAACTGTCTTTTGGAAGTTATTATTGCATTAGTTTCCTCCAACCTTTTAAATTGTGCAATCCAGATTATAGCACCATATTGTGTATGGCCCTGGGATATTTCAGGAGTAAAATTAGGGGACACTTCTACACATAACGTTGTAGAAATTCAGGACTTGCATTGAATATCTGCAATTGATGCTATGTCAGTTGTTAATTCTAATTCTGAGATTGACAGACTTTTGTTACCCTAAGGGATATAACAGACATGGGTATATGGAGCTTGGTCGTAGATCAGCCATGAGGTCATTCAATGGAACAATAGACTTGAGGGACTAAGTGGCCTATTCCTGTTCATATGTTCCTAAACACACATGGTAAACATTATATATCTACACAAAAACCAAAAATGTGACTGAATTAAGTAACTGCAATCATTTATATAATGTAACTGAAATTTTAAGTGTGTTGAAATAAAAAAGCTTTATTTTTATCCTGTGGCTTTATACTGTTGCATAGATATCAAGAACCAATATTAGGTTCTGATCCATGATTCCATGGTATAATGAGAAGATTACAAATTCATTCCTATTATACAATGGAAAAATGTTATTACAATATAGAAACACACATTTTAAGTATATACATGCTTTATTTTGTTATAGGTGGTTTCATAAGTTTCAATGGTTCATGGAGGGTCCAAGGAATTTTGGCAATGTCTCGTTCTCTAGGAGATTACCCTCTTAAAAACCTCAAAGTCGTCATCTCTGACCCTGATATCCTGTCTTTTGACTTGGATAAACTACAACCACAGTTCATGATATTGGCCTCAGATGGTCTCTGGGATGCTTTCAGCAATGAAGAAGCTGTAAGATTCATCAAAGATCGTCTTGACGAGCCACACTTTGGTGCAAAGAGCATTGTTCTGCAGTCTTTCTACAGAGGATGTCCTGATAACATAACTGTAATGGTGGTAAAATTCAGAAACAACAGTAAGACAGAAGACCAGTGAATGACATTGAGCACGAGGGCAAGGTTCTTCAAGTAATACTGTGCAAATGTTCGCAATGTGTGTGATAATAATAGTAAAGGTCATGATATTTACATCCGAATGGTCAGTGCTAGACGGCCTGTAGAATTGGACAAACCAAGTAGCTGCACATTCATTTTAACGGGCTGAGGTCAAAATATCATCCTTTTTATCTATAATCATTTTCAAATCTCTTCTAATATTTCTATTATATATAATACAATGCACAGTGCAAATCTTATGCTACAATGCTAAACTAATTGTGATCAACAATTTTATAAAGAATAGCCAATTTAAGCAATAAAGCAAAAACTAATTAACATTCAGGATCCCTGTTGCTGATTCAGTGGTTTCCATAACCAGTAGAACAGCTACTGAGAAGATATTCATTGAGTAACTGTGGATAAAAAAAAATAGATTTAACTAACCCTGACAAAAGAAGAATTCTTTTAATATACTGTTTGAAAAGGAAAAGGAAAATAAATGTGTTTGCATAATTTACAGCATAAATTCTTAGGCACATAGCATATGAACAGTTGACGTAACAAAAACATAGTTATTTGGAGTAGCTCCTCTTTATAGTTCACTCTTAGCATAGAGACCATGAGTTACTGAATCATTTCTTTGAATAGGATGATAGGGTGGTGTAACTCAAGAACTTCTCTCTGGTCTCCCTCATTGCTGCTTTGTGATTAGCTGACAATGGTCAACAACTTCTGGGTAAAAAATCGTCTGAATACATGCTGCCAACCAGATCTTACCTTCACAGTCACCAAATTCAAGCTGTGTTCTAGGGTCTACAGTAATGATTTTCAATTAACAGAACGTAATATCATGGAAGATGTAAAATTTGCAGCCGATTTGACATTTCCCCTTTAGCACTTTTGCTCAAAGCCAACATTACCCCCATGTGATCTGCCTATATTTACACTATAAATATTTGAAGTGGCTTTCTCAGATATTAGTGAATTATGCATGATCAGTCGTACCACCCGCACATTTTAAACTAAAGATCTCTTTTTCTTAGTAAGACTCACAGATCATTGTCAGTCAATCACAACTCTACTTTTGATTGGCATGTTTGCCAGAGTGGCAAGTTTTGGACGAGTCTTTTCATGATGGCAATGCTAACAATTTGTTCTGAATAGTAGGACGAAGCAAGTCATCAATCAGATCCTATCCAATTTCTCTTACCTATATGTAGGACTTAGACTATGAAGATCTCCGCATTGTGCTAATCGGTTCTTGTATCATTATTCTCTGCTGAGAGCCAAATTTGTTGTATGCAGATGGTGCATTCCACTTCACAAGCTAGATATAACTGGTTAAAAAGTCAGTGAAAAGTTAGGCTAGGATTCAAATTTGCATCCCTCTTTACTGTTAGGGCAGAGGGGTTCCTTTTATATGATCAAGAAATTTGGTTTCATAGTAATATCTACGCAGTCAGTGGTGTGACAAAGTATTTACTCAGCAACTTCAGAGTAAATTCCCCATAAATGATTTATATTTTTTCATGTAACAAATACTGTGCTGAAAAATCTACCTAACGGACATTGAACAAATATCAAACTTGGCATGTTGATTTAATAACTAAGAAAAAAATCAAAATAAACAATGTAATATTTAAATACAACAAGAATCGCAATTTTTAAACGCTTTCATATATCGTCTACTGATCATTATGTCAGAGTCATATACTTTAACTAAAGAAACAAACAAAGATAAATCTTGACCTGAGGTGTCTCATCCAGTGGTAATTATGATACAGTACAGATTTATAAAACAAGTATTAAGCATTAGAATTAGGTTTATTGTCATGTGTTCTCAAGTACAGGAGTGTAGTGAAAAGTGTACAAAGTCGCCATTCCTGGCGCCATCTTAGGTACAAAGGTATCTAGGTACAAAATCTTAGGTGCAACAAAATTATACTGATTATTAACAAAGAAATTATTCAGTTTTCTGCTACCTCAAAAGAATATGAACTATCTTATTAAAGTTATATGGTGTCACATTTTGAGTAGCTTAGATATGTGGGTTGAAATTGTAAATGTAAGGAAGGAAGGGAATCATTAATCAAGTATCTTCTGAGTGCTCAATGTCTTGCACCTTACAGTAAATACATGATACACGTGCTATTAAATTACAAAGTAAAGTCTCTATCCAGTCAGCTCAGTTTTGCTATTAAAAGAATAATTCAAGATAAACAGAAGTGATGTATTGCTAAAACCAGTTGAATGAACTCGGAATCAGAACGCTGTTAACTATCCATAGCAACAATTTCAAGGGTTATTAAGATTTTGTTTAGAATTCATCAATGAAATAGCTTTACTAAGAAAAATAGTAATAATAGGGCTATGTTTTCTTTCACCTCTTAAATTTTAGGTAAAAAGTGTGAGTATGATCAGTTGCTTAATGTCTCAATTATATTTTTATTAAAATTAGTGAATTGGGAGAAAATCTTAATACTGACTGACCCATTTCAAAATGCAAAGTAAATATACACAGTCATTGTTAAATTTACATCAAAACAGACATAATATTCGTATCATGTAGCAGCTTCTAGTATGTATAAAATTTGAAAGACCCACCTTAAGTGGATGTATGATGACTGAACTTGTCCAGCTTTGGCCGCAAACTTGTTCAGTAAGCTTAACAAAAATAACTTATAAGATTGTACAATGAAGCAATAGATTGCTCTTGGTGCACTATTCCTAAAAATGTTGGTTGAATTAGTTCTAATTGTACAACTGGTTTTTAACAATTCCCAAAGTAATCACTTTTACATCTATTCATAGGAGTGTAGGAGAATGTAGGAGAATTCTAACATGCAATATTGGAAGTCTTCTAAAAGTATGAAGTATTGTTATTTAAGAAAATTTTGGGAATTCCTTTGCTAATGAACAGGGATGAAAAAGCAGATATGCACAAAAAGTAACAGTTGATTAATTATCCATGATCTCAGCATTCCCACCCATCTGAAATGCTTTCAAATGTGGAGAAAAATTCTAGATGAACTTGTTAAGGGCTCATAAAGGTAATGAGCAATATTATCCAGCTACAATGTTTATTTCAAAGATGATTATTTTACAAATGATAGGTCTGATGTGAGTAAGGATAATGAATGAGGAAATGTCAGGGAATTTCTGAAGCATCATTTCAAGTGGATAAGAATCTCCATTTGTCCTTGCTTAAAGTTTGAGACAATTTCTGAAATTTTGGGGAGGGTATGATGTGGTAAAGGCAGTGGATACTTCAAAGGCTATGGGGCCTGACAACATTTCAATCTAGTACATAAGACTGCTGCAGACATATCTGCACCCCTAAGCAAGCTATTCCGAATTAGCTACAACACTGGCATTTACTTGAAGCTGGAAAATTGCCCAGATATGTCCCCTGCACAAAAAGCAGGAAAATAATCAACCCAGTAAATTACTGCCCTCTCAGAATATGCATAAGCATTAGTAAATTGATGACAGGTGTTCAACAACATTCAGTTTGGGTTTTATCAAATTACTCACTTCCTATCCACAATACAGCAATGGTCCAAAAATGAACAAGAATTAAACTCAAGGAGACAGGTGAGAGTGAGCATCAAGGAGTTCTCAGAAAACTACAGTCATTGGGAATCAGGAGAAAAGCCTTCCACTGGTTGTAATCAAATCTATAACAAGGGAAGATGGTTGTGGTTGTTGGCAGTCAATCACTTCAGTCCCAGAACATTGCTGAAAGAATTCCTCAGGGTGGTCTCTAGGCCCAACTATCTTCAGCTGTTTTATCAGTGACCTTGCCTCCATCATAAACTCAGAAATGGGGATGTTCACTGATGATTGAACAATATTAAGTACTATTCTCAACTCCTCAGATACTGCAGCCCTCTGTGTCTATATGCAGCAAGACCTGGACTGATAAGTGGTAAGTAATGTAGATGTCACACAACTGTCAGACAATGACCATCTCCAACAAAAACAAATCTAACCATCTCCCTTTGACATTTCGAGACATTGCCATTGCTGAATCCTCCTTTATCAACATCTTGTGAATTACCATTGACAAGAAACTGAACAGGATAAGCTACGTAAATTCTGTGTCTACAAGAACTGATCGGAGGGAATTTTGCAGGAAGTAACTCACCTGCTAATTTTTCCCCAAAGCTTGGCCACCACCACAAAGCATAGATTAAGGATGTGATGAAATTCTCTCCACTTGCCTGGAGAGTGCAACTCCAATAACACCTGAGAAGATAGTTCACGATTTGTACTAATTACCCAAGGCAATCTTTCACAGCTACATCTTTTGGTAAAGAAGCAAAAACTGAGGAAAGTCAGGTTCAATTGAGAGATTATGACTGATGTCTGATCAGGGTGGTTATGAGACAGTGGAAACTTCTCCCCAGTGCCAGTCACTAATCTCCAAGTAATTTGAAGCCAAAATAACTGCAAGTTACACCTTGAAGCTCAAAGCCTCTATAGCAACAGTACAGCTTTTGACAATTATCCTTCTGTGTGAAAAACTTGTAAACATCTGATATTGCCATCTGGGTATTGGATATCCTGCTTCCACTATCAAACACCATCCTAGTGTTATTCAGAAGGAGATCAATGGCAATTCAATGGGCCCAATTTTAACACAGTGAATGGGTGGGTTTTGACGGAGTTAAATTTTTGCCCATTTGCTTTTACTGCTATTGCCACCACTTGAAAGCAAACCTACTTCAATTCAGCAGGAACATGCAATATGCTACGTCTGAATCAGTTGGCTTGTCAATATCATTGTTACCACTTCTTTACTGGATGTTGGCTTTGCACATCCTCATTAGAGTCACATTATCTGAATTGTATCTATTTGCACGACTCCCTACTTTAAGTATCTTTTGTGTCTGTTGGTACACATGTATGTGATGGTTCTTTGGTGTGATTAATGGCTGAGTAAAATCTCCTCTCTCTGTGAAAATAGCAGATGGTAAATAATTGGTATGTAACCAATTTCATCATTTGCACAGTGCATTGTATTTAAATTATTACATGCTAAAACACAGTGTTTATACTCTGTTTTAAAAAGTATCACATGGCACATACAGAATCTTATTAGGGTATGTATGCGTTTATTTTTACATTTCAACCTTCACAGACTCAAACCTTTCCACAATTTCGAAGAGCATACTCCATCAGATACACTATCCAGTTTCCTTCTGAATAATATGTACTGAGCACCTTATTCTTTAGAACTAGATTCACTCAGAGCTTGTCACAGAAGCATAGCGATTTGTCTTCACCTATGCATCATAAGCATTACCAGGGCAGAGTGCAGGAAGAAAATCAGGCAGGGAGGATTGCACACACATAACAGAGACTGCCTAATTCTTTGTAAAACTGGTGTCTGCTTTCATGGACATGTGTTCCACTCCACCTACATTATCTTTCTAAGCACCACCCAGATAATGCATAGGCAGTAAAAATCCAAGATTTCCCCTATACTTTTTCAAAGTGCTCTCCAGCCAACAGAGGATAAATAAGTATCAATTCAAATTGTATACCACATATCTCTATGATAGGATGGGATTTAGGCTTCGCATATACTTATCCCATATTATGTCTTTTAACATAAAGAACATGTGAATAGGACAGATTCAAAACAGTAAAAATAGGTTATTTTCTTTGTTTATTGCCACTGTGAGATGGGATGCCAGCATGCCAATTTTAAAAACTTCTGTCTTAACTCAAAGCACTCTGATTTGTAACGTCATACGTTCATTGGATTTGGGGATGGAAATACTGCATGACAAAGAGAATACATTTAATGTCAAGGGTGCATTGGTCAGTGCATTTTCATGGCTGAAAATATAATATCCAAAGCCCAGAAGCTTCTGAACAGAAGAACAGTTGGGTCTTCCTATATTTTTATCAACTTGTTTTAATTTTGTTTATATTGTTGCCTTATTTTGAATCCTATTTTATTTATTGTTTAAAAAGTACTTTTGTTTAATGAATCTGAACATGGAGTCTAAGATAAATATGGTTAAAATGTACAATAATTTCTTGTTTTAGGTTCTGAAGACCTGCATGGCTCTATATTTGTCTCTAGGAGACAGTACAGACTGCAAGTAATGAATCTAACGCGGTATTTTGGATGTAAATAAACCATATTGTCTTAGTTTCGTACTGGGCAACAAAGTGTCATCTTTTGTATGCTTAAATTGTACAGTACATGATTCCAGGACATGAATTACATTACAAAAGTTAGTGGCTAGATAGAACTGGTGAAATGATTATGTATAAATACTAACTATATGTAAAACACTGTGATGATGAACATCAGAAAGTGTCAAACTACTGAAAATGTGGGCAAGAGTTGTGTTGTGCAAACAATAAAATAAAAATATGGATTTCTAATTTTGAATTGAATGACTCATTTGTGTGATAGGATTTTTATGGAGACAAAGAGAACGATTATCTTAATTGAAGATATACCACAAATCCACTTGCACAAATTTGTGTTTTCTGTAATTATTTCTCGGAGGTAATTGATTGATTTTAGGTCCCTGAGTGAAAAATTGAAATATTCTCTTTCTTCGTGCTTCCCTTCTGTATAACAGAATTGCTACCTCTGGTTGGAAGCTTCCTGGATGATCCATCAAATTTCACACCGTCTTCCACCATCCTTTTCCAGTCAGTCACTGACACATTCATCCTCATAGTACATCACCATGCTGGAACAAATTGGAAAGTGAATATATCCTCTGTTGCTCAATTGGTTGATTTTTGACTCAGCTTTTTTAATAAAGCTATCTTCAGCTCTTTCAAAATTAATCAGATTAAGTGGGAAAAGAAAATGGGAAGAAAGGACATTTGGTAGAATCGTACCATTTTTGGCTGAGTCCAAGTTGCATAGAGTTTTCTGAAGGGATTTCTGCTATGAGGCCTAGAGTGATTTTTTTTAACTGTATCTTACCAAATTCACCTCATTAACTATGCACCTCCACCCCTTGGTGTACCTCAAGTCCTATTCCAGCCCCATCTTATCATGCGTCATTCCCAGAAAAACTTGCCACTCAGCGGATATCCACGGAAAGTCTAACATTCCTTCTGGCTGTGCCACGTTTATAAGGTTACTGTGCACCCAGACGAGCAGTGACATTTCAAAGATGCCCTGCCTGCTCAGGGTTAGATTGTGAACAATTCAGCAAAGGGGAAAATAGCACCATGATTCACCAACAGGGATCTGGAGGTCCTGGTCAAGGAGTTGGTGCAAGGGAAAGAAGTCCTGCTCTTGGAGGACCAATAAAGAAGGTCATGACACCAGAGCCTAGCAAATCAGTCCAAGGTTGCCACAATCCAGAAGAATGTCCAGCAGTGCTACAAGAAGGTCAATGACCTCCTCTGCTGCCTGAGTTTAAATGCCACACTCTTAGCTGCCTCACACTAACTCTGGCACTACACCCAAATCAGTCTCATCCATGCACGTCATTTGTAACCACTGGCAATGATGCCTTCTATCTCTTGTGACTTGCATGTACAGCCAGCATCCTCTCCACCTCTACAGAGAAACACCTGGCTCTGCCAAAAGCCACCCCTGGACATCTGGGGGTGAGAGTACTGAAGCCTCAGAGGAAGCTTCGCAAGGCTGCCTCTTGAACTTCCCACAACTTCCACCAGCTCAGACATGTTGGTGGGAATATAAAGCGTTGAGAATTTGGGACCACAATCCGGTGAACATCTTACTGTGGCAGCTACACAGCTGGCTGAGGAAGAAATGCCCCAAGCCACTGGCACTCAGAGCACTGCCAGAAACCAGGTACCTGCTCAACCACAGGCAGGAGAGGACCCAGTGGTATCAGCAATCAGGAACTTTGTCAACATGCACAGGGAGAAACAGAAATGGCTGAAAAGTGTGTGGGACACAATGGCCCTCATTGCCCAGAACTGCAACAATGCAGCATATCATCCAACCATCTGTCTGCCTCAATGGACAGGTTGGTGGCTGCCATAGAGAGCCAGCAAAGCAACCTCAGAGTCTGCTGGAGAGGTCCACACAACCAGTCATTGGTCTTCAGGACAGGGAACCTGGCACACACTCCAGGTGCTCAATCCTCACAAGGGGACAAGGTAGGTCCAGGAGGTACCGAACTGGAGGAGGAACCATACACAGACCCACCAGAAATCTCCTCTCAGACACCCAAGAAGTGGCGTGGCCCTCCATCTCCACCCATCATAACTGAATGAAGAGGGTCAATTTGCAAGAAGACCCTTAGCATGTGTGGCCCATACAGACACAAGTGGTCCCAACGCAACCAACTAAACGTCCAGGAGCAACTGGCTCCATTGCAAATGGAATGTTGGCCTTTGTTTCAAAGACAATAACATATTAAAATTGGGAGGTTTTACCATAACTGTACATGGCACTAGTCTGACCACAGCTGGAATACTGTGAACAGTTTCAGGCCTGTTATCTAAGGAAAGATATAATAGCTTTGGAAGCAGGCCAGAGAAGCTTCACTGGGCTGATACCAGGTTTTGATGGACTGTCATATGAATAGGTTGGGCTTGTACCCATGGGAATTTAGAAGAATGACACCTTATCGAAACATAAGATTCTTAGATGAAAATAAAACAAAGAACTGCTGATGCTGAAGATCTGAAACAAAAACAGAGATTGCTGAAAAACTCAGCAGATCCAGCAGCATCTGTGGGGTAAAGCACAGTCAATGTATCATCCAGTCCAGTGACGCTTCTTCAGAATATTTTGGAAAAGTAATAAAGAGAGAGAAAATTAACTACAATGGCAAACTAGCAAGGAATATAAAATCTGACAATAAGAGTTTCTTAAGATATATAAAAAGGTCAAAGTGAACTTCGACACCTTAGAAAATTAATCTGGGAAGATAGTTATGGGGAACAAGGCAGTGGTAGACGAATTAGACAGATATTTTGCTTCAGTCTTCACAATGGAAGGTCATTCAAACATTCCATTAATACTAAAGGGGAGGAATAAGACCATCGTTAACATCAGACCAATATAACTTATATTTTGGCCATGAAGTGACTTTTCTTTTGTTCATGGGGCAAGGATTTTCACAGTGTACGCTACTATTTATTGCCCATACTTAATTTCCCAGAGGGCAGTTAAGAGTCAACCATGCTCAGGTGGGTCTGGTGTCACAAATAGGACAAACCAGGTAAAGATGACAAATTTCCTCCCCTGAAGATCATTAATAAAGAAGATGAGGTTTTTCAAGAATAAGCAGTGGTTACGTGGTTGTCAGTAGACTGTTATTTTTTTCTGATTAATTCAAATTTCATCATCTTCCATGATGGGATTCATAGAGTGATATAGCATAGGAACAGACCCTTCAGTCCAAACAGTCCGTATGGACCATAATCCCAAACTAAAAAAGTCCCACCTGCCTGTACTTGGCCCATATCCCTCCAAACATTTCTTATTCATGCACTTATCTAAATGTCTTTTAAACATTGTAACTGTACATGTATCCATCACATTTTCTGGAAGTTCATTCCACATACAAACTATCTTTGTGTAAAAAAAATTGCCCCTCATATCTTTTTAATATTTCTCCTCTCACCTTAAAAATGTGCCCTCTTGTCTTGAAATTCCCCACCCTAGGGAAAGAACACCTGCCATTCACCTTATATATACCCCTCATGATTTTATAAACTTCTATAAGGTCACGCCTCAACCTCCTATGCTTCAATTAAAAACGTCCCAACCTATCCAGCTTCTCCTTATAACTCAAACTCTCCATTCCCAGCAACGTCCTGGGAATTCTCTTCTGAACCTTCTCCAGCTTAATAATATCCTTCCTATAATAGGGCAACTAAAACTGGTTATAGTACACCAGGACAGGCCTCACCAATGGCTTGTACAACCTCAACATAACATCCCAATTCCTATACTCAAAGGTCTGAGCAATGAATGCCAGTGTACTAAACACCTTAACCACCCTATCTATAAGTGACACAAACTTCAAAGAATTACATATCTGAATCCCAAGGTCTCTCTATTCTAGAACACGACCCAAGGCCCAATATTTAATTGTATAAGTCCTGTCCTTGTTTGTTTTACCAAAACGCAACACCTCGCATTTATCCAAATTAAACTCCATCTGTCACTCTTTAGCCCGTTGACCCAATTGATCAAAATCCCCTTGTAATCTTAGATGACCTTCTTCACTGTCCATAAAACCATTAATTTTGGTGTCATCCACAAACTCACTAACCATGCTGTCTATATTCTCATCCAAATCACTTATATAAATGACAAACAAAAGTGGACCCAATAGTGATCCCTATGGAACACCGCTGCTTACGGGCGTCCAGTCTGAAAAACAACCTTCTACCATAACTCTGTCTCCTGCCATTAAGCCAAATATGTATCCAATTGGCAAGATCACCCTGAATCCTGTGATCTAACTTTACTAATTAGTCTACCATGCAGGACCTTGTCAAAGGCTTTACGAAAGTTCAGGTAAACAGCATCCACCACTCTGCCCTCATCAATCGTCTTAGTTACTTCCTTAGAAAAAGACTCAATCAAGGTTTGTGAGACACAATTTACCTCGCACAAAACCATGCTGACTTCCTCTAATCATTCCTTGCCTATCCAAATACATGTAAATCTTATCTTTCAGAATCACTTCCAAAAGCTTACCCACCACCAAAGTTAGACTCACAGGTCTATAGTTCCCAGGCTTTTCTTTATATCCCTTCTTAAACAAAGGCACAACATTAGAATATTATCTGGGGTAATGGTTATTAAAGGTAAGGGTTACTAGTCCAACAATATTGTCTCAATATCACTGCCTCTCTTCAATGCCTGATGCTATAAAAACGCTAACAGTGGCTATTCAGGAGAGACAAACAACCAGATGTAATAAAATCTGGATTGAAAGATACTTTCAGTAATAGTGACCAGGAGATGATCATCAATTATCTAATCCACTTTAGCAAAGCTGCTATCCTTACTTGGTCTGGCCTGCATGTGACTCCAGACCCATGGCAATGTAGTTGACTCTTAAATGTTTCTGCAGTGGCCCAGCAAATCACTCAGTTCAAAAACTACTAGAGATGAGCAACAAATGCTGGCTTTGTCAGCAGCAACCACATGCCATGAAAGAATAAAGCAAAAATACTCCTCAAGTATCAGCTGGTACTTGTTTGAAAAACATTACTGGTGAATGCCTTAATAAAAAGCCAACCAACAATGTCTGGGCTATCAAAATATGGGTAGCCACAAAAACAGTGCTCAGGAGAGTTTCAAATATGGAATTACATTCAATAGTTAAATTTCCACCCATCCTCATTCTCCTTGTTTTGTTCGTCCAAAAAGAAATGAGTAGTGGTTTAGCCATTAGTATAAATCCATCAAAAGAATAGCT